CCACTGCGCCTGAGTCGCAGTGGTCTTTCTCCTCCTGCTCCTCCTCCTTCCTCTGGCCTTCGTCGCTGTCGTCGTTGCATCGTGCTACTCCTCATCCATCTCCTCCCCAACGTCATCCTCCCCACAGGCCCCATCCCATCACAGGCATTGCCAATGCCCTTGACAAGGATAACAAGAGAACGCAAATGACGAATTGTTCTCCACGCGCGGGAGAATGCGAAGGCGTGCAAAAATCGCCCTGTCCCAGCGTCTCCTATGAGCAGCCCGGGCAATGCACTTGATGCTATGATTTAAAGATTCGTTTAGAAAGCACGAATGGTATCTAGGATTCCCAGAAACTGGTATCTTTAATGCCATGTGGACTGCTTGGTGGATTTTAGGAATCACTTTTGCATTGGCCAATCTGAATAGATTGACGTACCTGAGAATCAATTCGACTAGTTGGCGGCATTGCAGCCTCGGAACGATCCTGGGAGTTGTTTTCATGATGCACATGTACTCACATAAAGTCTTCCCCGCCGCGAGAAACACGCCACCCTGCCTCGTGGCCGCTGAACCTCCCGAGAACATCCACTGCCCAGGGCAATGGGGTTCCAGTTTATGCTGCTTTCGCTTTGAACGTTTTTGCTGCCTAGCACAGTTTGAGTTAGCACGGCCAGCCGATAGCACACCTTGATACCTTGTTCGCTGATACCACCCCACCATATCAGTGTACACCAACTTGCAGCACTGATCTATCCTAACCTGCATCGGCCCCACAACACCCCATACATTGCTGCCTATGAGTAGCCAGATCACCTGCGCAATGAATGACTGAATGACACCCAAATGGAGGCAGTGCAACGTGTCGATCATGACGTGTTCTTGGGGCTCGAGGCCCGTGGACGGGCAGAATATTGGGTCTCTTTAAACAACCAGTTAACCTCCTGTGTAAATGATCGCGCCTGTCCCTCCAGACAACAACTGGAAATGGCACTGGCGTGTCAATGAAACGAGCAGTGTCAGGAAGCTCTGCGCTGGGATCGAGCCCGCCGTGTGCCCGTAGGTGCAGCGACGGCGCATCGTTTGCCAATATCATACCCTCTCGCAGTCTGGCGTCGGCTCGCTTGTCCCAATGAAGCCCGCCCTCTCCGAATATCTTCGAACGGACGGCGTCGTCAAAAATCAACACCTCTATTCGCACTGTGCGCAAGCAACATCATATGCAACAGCATTCCCCAAAGCGTGCCCTGCAACTGAGGCTCTTGCTATATCATAGCCGCTTGGCCCACGTAGGTGTCACCGCGGGCGCGCCATCCACGTTCCTTCTCCACATCGCCCCCCTGCCCCCCTCCCCTTTCACCATCCCCCTCTCGGTTTTCCGCGCGCCCCCCGTCTTCAGTTCTGCCCCTCGTTGAAGCCCCGCCCACCTTCGCTTCTCGTTGAGCGGGGCAGGGGAAGTGGAGGCGGCGCGCCGGACGATGGGCGGGGCGAGCAGCGAGAAGAAGGATGGAGGAGGAGCAGGGGAGATGGGATAGCAAACATATTGGACGCATCTTATCCCTCTCCAAGCTGCCCTGCCCCCCCCCTCCCCTCTTGTGTTCGGGCGGGTGGTTTCATCAGATGCATATTATAGGTTGGGCTTCTGGCACGCGCGCCAAATGCATGGCTTGTTCAATGACTGCCAATTCTGAAATCCGAACGTGCTGCAGCGTTCCATCCAATCCCCCTTGGTTTCTATTGGAACAAATCGCGCTGGGAGACGCTCTGGAAGCGATGCGAACGGGTCTCCTGGAGCATATTCGGATCCGCCCCAACGTTTGTTTGGTCGTATTCCCCGAATCCCTGCTTCCAAGCACCATCTGAGAAATTGCATGGTGGGGGACATAGTGCACCACCCCTTGCAGCCGCATTTGTATTGCCCCCTTTCTGATATACAACATATTGCATGCCGTTTTCCAGACGCGAGTATATACGCAGTGAAATGTATCAAGCTGTCTTGTTTGCCTACTTGCGTGGCTCTTGTGTACCTCACCCCATCGCAATAAAGTGCGATGGGGAACGCTGGCCTCGCATCCCCTGGAATGCGTCGATGGCGGTGGTCTTCAAATGCCTTTTGCCGGACAGCAACCCTGGCAGTGCGGATGATATGGCCTTCGTCTAATCCATCAAGCTCGAGCTCACTAGCCTCGCGATGGCAAACCGAAAACGCTCTTGATGGGCGCGGAGGGGCGGCGAAGGAAGTAAACGGAAAATGTGCATGGCGAGAAGCCAGGAGGGAACGGAGGGGGCTCTGAGAGGTGATGGGGGACAATGGGGAGCCATGTGTTTTCGGTCTGCCCTCTACGCCATACATTCGTGCACTGGCGCCATCAGGACCTTGTTCTCCTTTTTGGCACAGCATAACTGCGTTGCCCCCCCCCCCCCCCTCCCCTCGCTCGACCACTCCTCCCTCAGGGCGACCTCTCAGTCGCTGTCGCTTCCGTATTTTTTTCGAGCCAAGCCAGGCGCTTCGACGAGATATGTTTATGTACGCAGAGTTTCTTATCCATTGTCCTCCCACTTGCCCCTCATGACCATTGGACGGGCAACTTGCCGCAGTGCAACGTTGCTGGAGATGGTGGGGGGGGGGGGGGGGGGGGTGGGGGGCCACGGTCCGAGTGTTTCTGGAGATTGCCTGTCGACGAGGTTGGGCCCTTCGAGAGCCGAGCGACGCCTGTCCCCTTCGCCCCTGTTTTCACGGCACGGTAAGAAATAGAGCAGATTGATTTCGCCGACACCCGTCCTCGCGAATACAATGTGAGAAATTCTTGCTCAAGTAATCGACCGCGCTCCTCCTGTGATTCTATGTCCTCGCGCAGGTTCTCTCAACGCCGCGTTCTCCCACCGACGAGCCGAGAGCGGATCCAGATCCCATCCACGAGAGGTCATTCTAAATCGGATTCAATATCCAGTCAATCGCCGAGCATCGCTCTGACCTTGATCCAGGATGCGCTGAAGGATTCGGACGTCAGAGGCAGAGGGCTAGCATGTTTGACGAGCGAGGCATAATGATAGGTCCGAGAGGAGGAAAATGATCACGGGAACGAGCCCAAACCAAGCGAGCAAGCCTGGCACGCTGGGTTTGGGGCAGGGGTTAGGGCTGTGATTTAGGGTGGGGAGGGGCTTGCTGCTGTATTTTGCCACCCCGAAAGCGCATGCCAAATTCACCGCAAATTCACCGGACATTCACCAGAATTGCACCGGATATTCACCACCCTGTTTGTGTTTAAAACAATATGTAATCTGACATTCACCGCAAAATCACTGGATATTCACTGGATTTTCACCGGATATTCACCGCCCCCGTTCGCGAGCACTCACCGCCTCTCCTCCGAGGCATGTCAACTAGGTCGAGGCCGTACATTGCCCCTAGCTCCCCCGAGCAACCAGCCGAAAAAACGGTCCCTCACTGAAAAAACAACCGAGCTTCCCAGGCCTTAAACTTAGAGTTGCAAGCTGCGCGCGCCGAATCTCCCACTCGCGCGCTGCCGTCGCGACAGAAAGGAAATTGCCGGGGGAGATTCCTGCCCGAACATCGTTCGCCTGAGCTCGGAACCCAAGTCGATCTAGGATTCAAATTAAGGCAATCAGCGTGATCAAGCCCAGGTCGAAACAGAAGTGCGGGGGGCGCATCGGACTCGATGCATGCTTTCCCCCTTTCAAAAGCTGTTGCTTCTTTGCCCCCCCCCCCCCCCCCCCCGCCCCCAGCCTGCAGCCTGGAACGAAACGCGCGAAAGAGATCGATCACACATAAGACAATAGAGTAACTACACCGTGCGCAAAAAAAAAGCTGCAGATCGGCCACTCGTGCAATGTTCGTGTCCGTATCCCGTGCCCTACCTCTTCTCGTCTCCTCGCATTTTCCCCCCGCCCCTTATCCCTCCAATTTTCTCCCATATTCCCCCTATATGTCATGATGGGCCAATCCCTTCCCATATCGACTTGACGCGCTGCTCTGTTCAGGCCTGGCATTTCTCTGTCATATCCAAGAATGCTCACAATTTCCTACACTTTTCCATGAGCTCGTCGATCTTGGGCCTCCGGGCGGCGATCGCGCCGAAAGCCGTCGACGTCTCGGCCTCGCCCCTCTGCCCCTTGAGCTCGGCGGCCCCGTGCACCAGCTGACCGCGCATGTTGAAGCAAGAGAGAGCGGCCGTCTCCACGGCTTCCAGGCAAGACTCCAGAGGCCCCCCCGAACTTTGCGCTATCCAAACCGCTGCCGCCGCGGCTGGTCTCCGAGATGAGGACCCTCGGGCGGCGGGGGGGATCGGGGAAGAGGGGGGGGGAGGAGAAGGAGGAGGAGGAGGAGCAGAAGGAGGAGGAGGAGGAGGAGGAGGAGGAGGAGGGGGAGGAGGTGGAGAAGGAGGAGGAGGAGGTGGAGGAAAGAACTTCGAGCATGACCAACGTCAACACATATGAGGAAGGGAAGAGGAGCAGGACGAGCACGAAGCAGGAGAAGGGGAGGGGCTGATGAGGGGGAGGAGTAGGAGTAGGAGGAGGAGGAGGAGGAGGAGGAGGAGGAGGCGAAGACAGGTGACGAGGACGAGGACGAGGATGAGGATAAGGATGGCGGTGATGATGATGACGATGGGGATGATGATGATGTTGTTGATGATGATGCTGATTATGCTGATGATGTCGATGCTGGTGATGATGATGATGTCGATGATGATGACGAGGATGATGATGATGCTGCCGCTGATGATGCTGATGGCGATGATGATGATGCTGATGATGACGAGGAGGAGGAGGAGGAGATAAACGATGACTAAGGAGAAGGAACATCAGCGAGCAAGACTGCTCGCCTCGCTTGCATGGTGGCCTTCGTGTAGGGCGAGCCCGGCTCGATCGCCCTCTTCTCGAGGGGCCCCCCCTGCCTTGACCTTGCCGCCCCTCGGCGTGGAAGAGGGGGCTGCCGCCGCTGCACCTGGCTTGCCCGCGCGGCGGGCACGCGCGCCAGCAGCTGCGCCTCCGCCAGCCGCTCCAGCCACGCCAGCCACGCCAGCATTGGTCTTCGCCGTCGGCTTCGGGGGCGTGTCCTTGGCCAGCTGCAACGCCGTGGTGGCCGGCGCGGTGTCGACTGCGGGCCCTGCTGGCAGCGCAGCTGCGCTGCTCGCGGCAGCAGCCGCTGGCGCGGCGCTTGGCTGCGCCTTGGGCTGCAACGGGGCGGCGGCTGCAATGTTGGCGTGGACTGCAGGAGGGAAGTTGCCGAATGCCGTGGGCTGGTTGAAGTGGGCGATGGCCCGCTCCCGCGCCGCTGCCAAGTCTGGCGACATTGTCGATGGGCCAGCCGATGACGGCGCAGGGCGTGCCGTCTGCTCCGACGTCGCCCGCCAGATCTCGCTGGACTCCTGGCGCGTCTCCTCGGAGATGTGGCGGAACTTCATCCTCTTGCTGCAGGGGTCGATGGCGACCCACCCCGCGCCACGCTCCAGGGCGGACTTGGCTATCCCATGGGCCCCCGCAATTGCGGTGGCGCTGTGGTGCCCGCCCTCCGCTGCGATGAGCTGGTCCAGGTTCGTCATCCGTCCAATCTTGATGTCGGACTCGGAGTCCTGCGTCACCTTGGACCGCTTCTTGATGGCCTCGCTGCACTGCTCCTCGGCCCACTCGCGCCTGCGCTTGGCCCTGGCATCTCTCGCGGGCCTGCCAAACCCATCCCACTGTCCATTTGCCTTCAGCCAGCGCGTGAATCTACTTCCCAGGGCGCCCCGAGCCGCGAAGTCGAACCCAGCCTTCGCACGCGCCTCCAACACGTCGTCGTCGATGTCCTCCTCCTCCTCCTGCTGGGCGCCCCCCACGGTGGTCGGCAGCTCCTGTCCCTTGAGCTTCTGCCTGAAGAGCGCCACCATCTCCTGGGGCGATGGAAGAGCTCCTCCTCCTCCTCCTCCTCCTTCTCTCCTCCTCCCCCCTCCCCCCTTCCTCCTCCTCCTCCTCCTCCCCCCCCCCCTCCTGCGTCTCCCCCCAGCACCCCCGCTGAGGGGATGATGCGGGAGATTGAGGTGGCCAGAAGATGAGGAAGTCAGGGCAGGTGCGGAGAGCGCATATCTTTCGAATGTGACCTCTGGGCTCCTGCTCGAAGCTGCTGATGCGCGTCGCGCAGTCGACTGCGGAGGGCGACGACGGCTGGCTCGGGTCCAGCTCGGGCTCGTGGTCACAAGAGTTGGTGTCCACCATATCTGGCTGGCGGTCTGGCAGCTCCTGCCCCGTGGGCACCTCCTCCCCAGCTTCGCCGACTGCGGCGCCCTGGCTGTCCGCGGCTGCGCCGTCGAGCACCTCTGGGCGCGCCTCGCTCGGCGCCCGCTGGCCCTGACCAGCAGCCGAGCCACCGTCGACCATCGGCTGGCTGAGCTCGGAGCGATCTTCCGAGCCCGAGCTGCCCTGGGCCACGCCAGCATCCATGCTGGGCTCGGGCTGCGGCGAGGCTCCAGCGCGCGCCGCCTGGGCACCCAGGCTCGCCTGCGCGCCCGGGGTTGGCGAGGTCGCGCCGCCTGGCTGGTCGACGGCGTCGTGCTGCAGCGTCGCAAGCTCCGCGGCGGCCCCTAGTGGCTGCGTCTCTGGCAGAGTGTCCTGCTGGGCGGCGATCGCGAAGATCGGCGCGCTGTCGAGGTCGGCAGGCTGGCTGATGTTGTCGTCGCCGCGAGCGCGGAGCTGCCGCCGCCGATGCGGCCGAATGGGCTGCTCGTCATGTTGCACGGGCTCGCGCTCCAAAGTACACACAACAAATTCGTCGAGTGTCGGGGCCGGGCGTGCCCAGGGCTTGGTCGCAACTACAGTCGGAGTCCGGCTGGCTGGCTGAACTGCGATCGGGCCCTTGTCGACGACGGCATGTGTCTCCTCGACGTCGCTGTCGCTCAATGTGACGGGTTGGTCTGGCCCAGCTGCGTCACGCTGGGATAGCTGCGCGAACCCGTGGCTCTGGCGATCCTGGAGGCAAGCATGCGGGCGACGCTGCATATGTGTGTGTGTTTGTGTGTGTGTGTGTGCGTGTGTGCGTGTGTGTGCGTGTGTGTGTATGCGCGCGCGTGTGTGTGTGTGTGTTTGTGTGTGTGTGTGTGTGTGTGTGTGTGCGTGTGTGTGTGTGTGTACGTGTGTGTGTGTGCGCGCGTGTGCGTGCGTGCGTGTGTGCGTGCGTGCGCGCATTTGTGCGTGTGCGTGTGTGTGTGTGAGAGAGAGTGTGTGTGTGTTTGTGTGTGTGTGCGTGTGTATGTGTGTACGTGTGTATGTGTGTGTGCGTGTGTGCGCGTGCGTGCGTGCGTGCGTGCGTGCGCGCGTGCATGTGTGCCTGCGCGTGCCCTGCGCGTGCGTGTGCGTGAGTGTGCTTTTGCGTGCGCGTGCGCGTGCGCGCGTGTGCGCGTGCGCCCGCGTGCGCGTGCGCGTGGCGGGGGGAGGGGGGGGCAATCACAACGATTGGTGGTGCGGCTATCTCACCGCCCTCCGTCTTGCCCCCATTCCACGCGGGGGCCGCGCGCTGTCCACGTCACCATATTAAAGGGATTGGTCACCCCATTACTCGATAATGTTGCCCGCGGGGTCCGAGATGACCGAGGCCCCCCCCCCCTCATCCTCCAAAAACCATCCCATGGATTTGATGCTGCCTGTCCTGCTGGTCATTCTCCGCCAGGGCCCTGGGCGCCGCCGAAACGATGCGCACCGTCGCAGCCTGTGGGAGAATGACGCAATGGGTCGGCACGCGGACGGAGGCTGAATCTTATAGAGAGGAGGAGATGAGGGATGATGATGAGGAGGAGGAGGAGGAGGAGGAGGAGGGAGGGGGATGGAACGGGGAATGAGGAGGGGGAGGAGGAGGAAGAGGGGGAGGAGGATAGTCGGGGAGTCGGCGGAGGCGGAGGGGGAGGAGGAGGAGGGCGAGGACGAGCACGAGGAGGAGGGCTGCGAAAGAGAGGGCGAGAGGAGTTGGTTCACCGGATTGCCCCCGAAGTCTGTTATCAAGGAATCCCCGCGCAACCCGAGCAGCTGCGCCCTCGGCGTCGGCCATTGAACCCACTTGTCGAGTGCCAGCCCTAACTTGCTGAGGGGCAGCGGAGAAACTCGAAGCCAAAATGCTCAGGACAGCATCGGGGTTCGATCGGTGTTGTCTGCGTTCGCATTCGAATCGTTATCGCACGGTGCTCTGCATTCGTTCGACTCGCACTTGCATCGAATGAATTATTTCAATGATCGGGGTCCGATGCCCGCTAGCACCCACTGCCCCCTGGTCGCCGCGGCTGGGCGACTCCCGAAATAGCTACGCCGAATCGCCACGGCTGAACGTTGCCCTTCTCTTCGCCACGGCTGGATTGCCAACGCGTACCGAACGCCCCGAGTGGCTACAGCCGGCCCCTGAAGAAGGAACCCTTTTCGTTGGGGAGGGGCTCCGCGTTCCTTAAGTGTTTCGCAGCTTGTCTCAGGTTTTCCTTATGTTTTCGATCGGAAGTCGAAGCTTAACGTATAAAAAAGCCTCGTTCCTTATTTTGGGTTCCTTAGGTCAAGACCCCGACTGTATAGCATTCGTTATCTTCCGCGATGGGGCATCTAATTGGGCGTCTAATTCTTTCGTCGCGAAGCTTTTTCCTCTGGCCTCTTTTCAACTCCCACGTTCTTCTAGACAACTGTCTAGATCACCAGCCCGACGGGGCTGCCCGAATCAAACCCTACATGTCCAGCGTGAATGGCCCCTCGGGCGAGGAAGGCCTCGGCCTCGCTGGTGGGCGCGCCGCTGCGTGCCTCTCAGGCACGGGCGACCCAGCGGCCTGCTTCGGCTCGGGGGTATTGGGCGCCGTCGCGTTCGTCTTCCCCTGGCCCCTGGTGTTCTGCCCCTGGCCCTTGCCCGAGATCTCGATCGTCGCGCCGTTGGCCATCGCGGCGCCGCCCGTGCCGATGGCGACGCCCTTGCCCCTGCCCCCGACCTCGCCGATGTTCGTGCCCTCGGAGTTGCCCTCCACGATCCCCGAGTCGCCCTCGCCGATGTTCTGGCCCTCGCCCGCGATCGAGTCCTCGCCCTCGCCGATGTCCTTGCCCTCGTCCATGATCACGCCATCGTCCTCGCCGATGTTCTGGCCCTCGTCTACGAGCACGTCCTCGCCCTCGTTGATGTGATGGCCCTCGTCCGCGATCACGCCCTCGCCCTCGTCGATGTTCTGGCCCTCGTCTACAATCGCGTCCTCGCCCTCGCCGATGTCCTGGCCCTCGTCCGCGATCACGTCCTCGCCGACGGCCTGGCCCTCGGAGCCCCGCGGACGCTTCGCACCTCCCAGGGGAAACCAATGTGCAAGATGCGGGGCCCAACCATCTTGCACGCCCGTCCCTCCATGCGATGGGGCGCGGGTTACCGCATCAGCTCAGGACCGTTTCGTTTAGGTTCAGACATTGGAGCAGATGAGATGCCTGCTGGCCTGACCCCGCCCTCAGGAGAAGCCAGATCATTTTCAAGGGGGAGGAAGGGGCATAGCACATGGAAGACGGCTGGCATTGAGGAACGGCGCGTGGACGAGGGTGACGATCGAGGGAAGCGAGGAGGACGAGGAGGATGGGGAGGAGGAGGAGGAGGAGGAGAAGCAGGAGGAGGAGGCGAAGGATGAGTCGGGGAATGACGAGGAGAAGCCGGGCGAGGCTCGAGGAGGAGGAGGAGGGGGAGGAGGGGGCGGAAGAGGCAGCGAAGGAGGGGGAGGAAGAGGAAGAGGAGGAGAAGGAGTTAAGGAAGTAGGAGGTAGGTTGGCTCCTTCTGCTGATGCCCTTGCCGCTGCTGGCCTCTTCTTCATCGTCGGCTTCCCTTTCATGAGCATGTTCTGCTGCGCCTTCTCCAGCAGCGCCTGCCCTCTGTTGATGGTGTTGTTCGCTAGGCGCGTCGCTACGTCGTTGCACCAGGCCATCGCCAACTTCTCGCCATCGTTGATGTTCTCTGCGAAGTCCTAGCTGGAAAACTCGGCTGGCCGACGACGATTACGACTACGACGCTGTCCTGTGCCGCGCCTTCCCC